TAAGACAGTGCAAGAATAGACAGATAGAACATAATGCTGAGTCCAGACTTGGTCTACATGTATAAAGTCACATTATTTATAAGAAAGAAGCCACTGCAATTCAACAGGGGGAAAGGATGATCTTTTCAATAAATGGTGCCAGGTCTACTGGATATCTATATGAAAAAAAATTAACCCTTATCTCTACTTCATACCATAAGAAATTAATTTGAGATGATCAAAGCTTGGGAATGAGTACACTGGCCCTGAAGATGGGATCGTGCTGGAGACCCAAATAAAGCTTATGGAAGTATGTCCCAAATAAAGCTTATGGAAGAAAATATAGAAAATTATCCTCATAACCTAAGGATAGAGAAGAATATCATAAACAGGACAGAAAATGTACTATCCATAATAGAAAAGACTGAAAAATTATACTTCAGTAAAATTAAGAACTTCTATTTATCAAAAGACAGAATCGATTGCGTGAAAAAGTAATGGACTGGAGAAGATATTTTCAATGCCTGTATCTGCCAAAATCCTTATACACAGAATATATGAGGGGACTTCAAAATTTTCATGGAAAATGGAATTACAAGATAAAAATAAAAATATATAAACTTTAATTATCAACATAAACTCCATCAAGTTCAAGACACTTTTGTCTGCAAGGATGTCAGCCATTTAGTCCATCCCTAAAGAACGGAGGGTCCTGTGACTTTAACCATGTCAATGCAGTCTTTTTCACATTAGTAACTAAAGAAAAGTGGGTGCTCTTTAGGATTTTTAAGATCAGAAAGCAAAAAGAAGTCAAAAGGAGCCAAATCAGGATGGTAAGGTGGATGCCTGTTCACAACATGGAAGGTGAAGGGGAATGATAGATAGTTTTTCTCCTGAGTTCTGGTAACTAGAGTGTGGGACTGTAACGTAAGTATAGTTACTTTATCTACAAAGACATCATAAGTTCAGAGGTGTTAGTGTCCAGGGGCAGCAGACACCAGCAGCACAGTGGCCTTCCGGCAGGATCAGTGCTAGTAGAACATCCTACATGAATGGCTCTTTTGGCAGGATCTTGGCTGTATTTGTCTATCTAGCTTTCTGCCCAAGTTTGTTTTTTCAGCTTTCTTGCCTATTGTGCAACCTTTAACCCTTCCCGAAATTATTTTTCTTCTTAACTGAACCAGGTTTATTTTCTGTTGTTTGCAACCGATAACTCTTAACTGAAACATTCTTAGAAAGTAGAGAAAACCAAAATAGAAACCAATATTCCTAATTTCTAACCAATGACAAAGAAGGTTTGGATATATGGGAGAAAGTTGCTATGAAATAATTGCATTCTAACAGAATGTGTAGGTTTAAAAAGCAGGTTTATAAAGATTCAGAGAAACACCATATGTAGCAGAAAAAGCAGAAAAGTTATAAAATGATATCTGACTTGTATAAATATGAATAATCTCAAAAAAAAATAAAAAGGAAAGTAGGAGAGAGATGTGTAAAGAGACTGGGATGGCTGCAATAAAATGCTCTCTAATCTGCCCTGATATAGAACAATGAGTAGATGAAAAGAAGGAAATATGTCCCAATATAAATGTGTCTATAAGAAAAATGTGGATACTATGGTCTCCAGCACGATCCCATCTTCAGGGCCAGTGTACTCATTCCCACGCTGCTGGGAGTACAGGTTCACGGGTGCAACTCTTACTTGAAGTTGCTCTTGGCTGCAGGGGATTGCCCTGATCTGAGGTTATAGCCCTCTCAAGTGTAGCTGATGTAGGAAGGAAAAAGCCTGGCCCCTTGCCTCAATTTGGGATAACTCTAAGGAACCACTGGCTCTAAAGAACCACTCCAGCTCCAGAGCAACCTGTAGGATCAACTGAGGCCTCAGTTACAACCACTTCTACTTCTCTGTCTGCCCAATCCTGCATTCCTCTCTTCCTTACAGGTATTTCTCCCAGGATCACTCTCCAATGAACCTTCTGCGTGAAACTCTTCATCTTAGGAATTGTTTCTAGGGAACTCAATCTAAGACAAAGATGGAAGTCCCGAATAAACATAATGTGAATATTCTTTTTCTTCTTCTTCTTCTTCTTCTTCTTCTTCTTCTTCTTCTTCTTCTTCTTCTTCTTCTTCTTCTTCTTCTTTTTTTAAAAGATGGGGTCTCACTATGTTGCCCAAGCTGGACTGGAACTCCTGGGCTCAAGTGATCCTCCCACCTCAACCTCCCAAGTAGCAGGGACTACAGGCATGTGCCACCACACCCAGCTTCAGTTTACTGTTTTCTCCCAGCTTCTCTAGCAAAGATTGTCTTCAATCTGTAAGTGGCAGAACAATCAGCCTAAATAAGGAAGTGCAGTCCAATTAAAACACGTAAGATAATAAGAGAGGACTATTATTATTAATGAAAGCATTAATTTAAAAAAAGAATTATATATGTTTATTGTAAGAATGTAAGCCAGAGCTGCCAGCAGCCTTGTCATGTGGAGAAATCCTGCCTCTGGAGTAGGATAGAATGAAGACAAGAAGCTGAAAAAATAGGAGATGGAACAAAGAAAGAGTCCTTGAGTCTCAAGTCCATTAGACAGAAACAACCTGCCTGGTTTGATTACATCAACAAATAAATCCTTTTTTTTTTTTTTTTTTTTTTTGCTTAACTGAGTTCTAGTTAAGTTTTTCTTTTAGTAAAAAACGTCTGAAAAATAATAAATTTATCAATGAGAATTCTGATGCCCAGAGGAGCAAAGCCACTCCCCCAAGTTATAAGCAGTAAGAAGCAGAGCCAGGATTCTGAATGAGGTCCCTCTGGGCCACAACCCGACTTCTCTTTCCATTTTTACTCTATTGATCAGTAGTTTCTTTCTACTGGTCCATTGTCTGCTGACAAGTACCAAGGTCCTGTAGGAGAATCCCCCTTAGTAGATCGTATTATTGCTCCTAATTATTTGTTCATCTTTGAACATCCCTCCTTGCAGTGCTGCCCTTGGAAGCATGTGCATTTCTGCTGACAATGCCCATGCCCACCATGACACTGAACCTATTCTTAGGACCAACTCAGCACTCAGACTCAGAGAACTACCACAGACCACTTTGGCATCAGATTCACTGAGAAGAACGTAAGACAGGAACTGCCCAGAGACAGCTTAAATGCAAGAAGATCCACTACATATGGGGCAGGTGCAGGAACCAGAGCCGGTATCTTCCGTAACAAACTTCGGAGGTATAGCTTCTGGCATCACCACATGCCCAGTTAAAACAGTCACCACATTCAGGGATGCTAAAAGCCACCCAGTCTCCATCAGGTATTTGTAGTGCATTTATACTTCCTCGCAACCAGGTGCAATTTCCAATCAAAAATCATTTTTATTATAAGTGATATCACTGAGTAACATTGTTAACATAGTACTCTAATCTGGTTCCAGGGAAACAGCTAGACTGTTAACTAAAGGTCAAATTTGTATTCAGCAGGGAAAAATTTTTGTTAACCCTTTACCCAAACTGCCTCACTGATAGCAGGTTTGACTATATGATTTGCTTTAATCAATGGAATGCAAGTTGAGGTGACTTACACCTCCTCCAAGCAGAAGCCCTATGAGCCATTGTGTGATTCCAGTCTTACTCCCTTCCTTCTGAGACAAGGAGGGGGCAATACCTTCAGCCTAGGTCCCCAAATGGAGAAGGGCCGTGGAGCAGACCTGTAATGGATTCTTATCTGCCATAAAACGTCCAAGAAAGACAAAGATTGATTGTTATAAACCATTGCTAATTTTAGGGCTGGTAGTTACTGCAGAATAAACTACTTCTGATTAATATATCTCCTTTGGAAAGATGTAGGCTGAGTTTATTGTTCTCCTACCAGGAGTCCTTAAGTAGAATCTGTCAACTAAGCCAGCTAGTTGTTTGAGGTGTCACAGACTTAATTTTGGCAATAATCCCTAACTCAAGAGTCTAATGGAACATTATCTCCCCTTACTGAGCAGTTGTGATGTTAGGGCAGTCCAAGCAATGCCTGAAAAAAATAATGTATGTAGATTGTGATGCTTTATTGCTTTAATTCATCTTCTTCTTTGTACCTGTCAGGGTCCTGTCAAGAGACAGAAACTATAGAAAGTTACTTGAATGAAGATAATTTAATATAAAGAATTGTCAACTAGGTATAAAATTGTCAACTTGATAACTAACAAGGTAAAAAAGGAAATCTAAAATATCATAAAGGTAGCAACTGCAGGAAACTCTTAATTAGCTCTAGGGTTGAGGGAACAAAGGTAAGAGGTTGGAATTACTAAAACGTAGAAACGTAGAGGAGCGATGTGTGGAGCTGAAACTCTGATGTCTGAGGAGAGAGTGCTGCTCAGCTGGTGCTGGTGTCTCTGAGTTTGGAGGAGGCGTCTCATGGAGCTGGGACCCATCTCTGAGTGTTGGTGTCTCTGGGGGGAGGGTGCAATGCAGCTAGTTCTGCAAGTGTTAGGAAAACAGCATGCTGGATCCAACTGCCTTTCACAGGGTATCACAGGCAAGAACCACAAGCAAACAGAAAGCTTATAGGAAGAAGCAGTCCCCTTTTTTCTCCTCCAACCCTTGGTCTCCCTCTGGCACTCCTATTGTCAGAGCTTACCTGCCAGCTTAGCAGGAGCCAGCTGGCAAAGCAGAACTGGGGTTTGGAGAGCCCCAGCAAACCACACTGTGATCAGTGCACAGGAACAACTGGCTAAGAGGGTGAGTGAGGGCCACAGTTCAACTCGTGCTCTCCTTGCCAAGCTCTAAGTACTTATATGGGGCTATGTCAGCCTGGAAGAAGAGTCATTTTTTTTTCTAATTTGCACAGAGGTATCATGTAGGCTAGTGCACATACTGATTCAAGCATCAGCAATCAAATCTTCCTTCCATCTTTGAATTGGCTGTGAAAAGCATGTTAGTTTCACTGTAATGTGTCAGGCAAAATTACATGGCATCAGCATGCAAACTTTTGCAGTTTCATATATAGTTTTCCTTTATATACCATCAAAGTTTTGTATGGATTTTTCACCATGGGTACTGCTTTTTTTTTTTTTTTTTTTTTTTTTAAGAGACAGAGTCTTGCTTTGTTGTCCAGGCTGGCCTGGAACTTCTAGCTTCTAGTGATTCCCCTGCCTCAGCCTCCGGAATTGCTGAGACTACAGACCCATATCTCCATGCCTGGCAGGTGCTGCTTTTGATATGCAGTGCAGGTTCAGTTCCTTCCTTTCTCAAATGCTGGACTTCCAGCTGTGCGCCCACAGTAAGTCTTTACTGCTTCCATACGCCTCTCTCTTATGTGTCCTTCTCTTGTCTTGTCACTGGAGTTGTGTTAATAAGTCACTTTGCTCTTGTTCCTTGTCTTTTAAGCCAGTCTTACCATATCCTACGAAATATTCAGTAGTTTTACTGATGATCTAAATGAAGGCTTTGAAAAAATTATTTTCAAATTTGTTGATGACACAAAAATAGGAAGGTTATCTAAAATGACAGATTTCTAATGATTTCTGCAGACTGACATGCTGTATTAATAGTAAAAATATGAAATGTATGAGAGAAAGGAAAAAGCCAATAGAATTGAAAATAAGGATAAGAGAAAATTAGAGTAAAATAACTGCAATGAAGACAAACCTCTATTTTTAAAAACTTGGTGGCAATATTATGTATGTGACAGCTTTAGAAAGGAATCATGCTTCCCACAAAATAAAAAAAAAATATTGGAAAAAAATTCAAATATAAGAATTAAAGTTTAAAAAAGAAAAGAAAAAATATTATACAATAAAAGAAAAAGAAAAAAAAGAAAGGAATCATGCCAGTTTTGTAATAGGCACACAATAGCTACTCAATAAATGTTTAACTACTTTGATATTTGATAAAAATCATGGAAAGGGATCAAAAATTATAGTCAGGAGAAAAGTGCTATCATTCTTGCTTACTCAACCACCTCATGAAAATTCTGAGAAGACACAGTGGATTATATAAAAATACAGATATGTGAAGGTATACAACAAAATATTACTGGTGGTTATCTCCAACTCAGGAATTATTTTTTTATGATTTTTATGATGAATATCTGAATACCTCATTTGACTATCAGCTCCATAAACTGTGACTGTGCTATGCATCGTATCCCTAGGGCCTAACCCAATGACTGAAACATTGCAAGCATTCAGTATTTGTGAATGAGTGAATAAATAAATAAATAAATGGATGAATGAAAATATTTTAATGTAAATAATTAGAATGGATTCCTGGATGGGGGCAGTAGAAAAAAATTGGGGGTTAACTTTTTAGGTACTATAAGAGAGAGCATCTTCAAGATATTTCTTGTGGGTTTAGCAACAAAAGATAAAAAGTCAAAAATTTAAGGGGAACTGCATATCAGAAAGAATATGAAAAAATACCCACTTTCCAGGAAAAAGAATCTGGTAACTTTCTTATATAGATGAAAGGAATTTAGTACTTTCTATTCTGAGCTCTATTTAAATATTTTTCCAAAATGTCATTCCCTTTTTATATAGTATAAAAGGGCTATTGAGTTTTTCTGGCGACGGAATTGGTCTGCGGAAATGGCAACGGTGAGGCTGGCACAGTGGCAGCGGAACGGGGGGTTTGGGGACACGTGGCGAAGGGGGTTCTTCGGTCGCATTTAGGAATAAGAATGTGAAACAGAGGATATGGCGGCCTAACTATTCTCAAGCCTTCGTGGGGAGCGTACGCGAAGGACAAGGCTTTGCATTTCGGAGGAAACTGAAGATTCAGCAAAATTACAAGAAATTGCTGTGGAGGAAAAAGAAGGTTCAAATATCTCAGGAATCCCAATTCAAAGATAGATACCCAGATCATCTGAAACATCTATACTTAGCTGAAGAGGAAAGACTCAGGAAGCAACAAAGAAAAGTTGACCAGCGTTTGTCAGAAGAGCAAGTTGACCAAACTTTGCCTGACGAACAGCGTAGCATTGACCAGTCTTTGTCTGAAGATCGGTATAGCTTTGACCAGCCTCAGCCAGAAAAACAATGTAGCAAGACAGTAAAGTCCTTTAACGTTCCAAAGCAAAATAAAAAGAAAACATCAAATCAAAAAGCACAAGAAGAATATGAAAAGGTACAAGCTAAGCGTGCTGCTAAGAAACAAGAATTTGAGAGGAGAAAACGAGAGAGAAGAAGCTCAAAGGCGCTACAAAAAGAAGAAAATGGAAGTGTTCAAAATATTGAGTAAAAAGACTAAAAAGGGCCAACCAAACTTGAATTTACAGATGGAATATCTTCTTCAAAAAATACAAGAAAAAAATTGAATCATATTTTTTTCCTCAGAGGTTAACATACCTGCTGCCCTTTGAGTTCTTTTATATGTGTAATAGGTACATCCTAACAATGAACTTGATTTGTCAACATAAACTATATTGCTGAACTCTACTAAATATAAAATGTCTAAATATTTTTGTTCTTATAAAAGAAACCTTTCTATATATACTCTACATAATATGATGTGTTTCTTATTTGTTTGCCTCTGAAGGAAGGTTGTCCTGAAGAACTTAAAGAACCTTCGATTGGGGAGACAGGCTCAAGCATGTAGTACTTTTGTACCATATGAAATTTGTATGAAATAAAATGTTTTCAAAAAAAAAAAAAGGGCTATTGAGTAAAATATTTTCTTAAGCTAGTATCACTGATTAATGAAATGTCTTTATAATATAATATTTGAAATAGAAAGTCGCATTGAACCTTGTAGTAAATAGAGAAGTTAGATTACAAAAGAAAGATGCTTTGCCTTACTTTTTTTTTTTTTTTCCTTTTAACCCTTTGGTAGTTTTCTGGGCCTTCTCTACAGATTCTTGGTTGGTAAAGTTCCTAAGTAAGATTTTTTAACGTCTTTTATACCTTTTATTCAATACTTCTAATAAGAAGAAAAAATACCTTTTCCTCTACCATCTTATAGCTTTGAAAAAAATACTGTAAGATTTCCACTGTGGATGCAGAAAATTTTTATTCACTGTGGAAAACTGGGTCATCTTCTTTTCAGAACCTTTTTTTTTTTTTTTTTAAATCTGAGAACAGGTTCAAGGGAAACAAGGTAGAAAGTTTCAACAATCCAGTGGGGAATTCCACTTAGAGACAAAAGAAGCAAGATAGGCTAGAGAGGTGATTACATAGATTTAGCATGGTTAAAACAGATACTTCTAACACAAAAATGTGCAAATTAGAGGGTTAATAGTTGATTCAACAAGAGACATAAATGGGCGTTTCAGTTTTGTGAAAGAACAAAAATCGGCTGGCTTCCTTCAAATCTGTACATTTTAAATCTACCAATTTATTAGTTTCCCGATGTACTGTTTCTTTGTGGCTTTTTAGGTTTACAATTCTTACTGCAAGAGAGAAAAGATAATCCCCACTGTGGTTAAAAATAAAAGGGAGGAAAACACAGATTTAATTTATTTAAGCCACACATGAAGAAATTAGAGCGAAAACCAATTAACTCAGTTTTGCAGCGGGAAAACAAAAAAAAAAACAGAAAAAGAAAAAAAACAAAACAAAAATGTTACACTTGCAAACGCAAGGACAAAGATCAGCAACGCTGGGAACTTGTATGAAAAAAAGCTTCGCCTAATGATTCATGTAATGGCGAAAGAGCGCATGGGTATATTAATGTAAAACTCTTTCTCTTCTGCTCTTGGAAAGAATTTATTCCAATTTAACAGCTAGCCTTGCCCTATCGTTTTCCTGCCTAAATGAATCCTTTTAAAAAAAACTTTTTTTTTCCCCAGGTTCCAGCTTCAATGTAAAAAAAAAAAAAAAAAACAAAACAAAGAAAAACTTTTGCATTTTCGTGATTTTGCTAGATTAACAAAAAATTCATTGTATCTGCCAAAGAATTATCTTACCTCAGTGTTCAGATTCGAGTGTATAATGAGTCTGTTTTAAAAGCTTTTGGCTTATATAAAACAAAATCGACAGTAAGCCGTGAGTTCTCACAATTGTATGCTGAAGCTACAAGAGCTGAGAAACAAAAATGATTAGAGTATCCAAGCTGATAAAGCCGCCAGACGATTTTCTTAAAGATACCTTTCAAGCTGCTCTCAGGATATTTAAGGCAAAGCCGGGGTTAAAAAAAATACTTCCCTCCCTGTGCCTAGTATGAGCCGATTTATGAAAAAATTTTGATTATATTTGAGTCAGCAAGAATGAAATATATTCTTCATTTTTGCCTCTAGAAGATTTGCCTATTAGAGAGAATAAAAGTTTCTACAACTCTACGAAACTAACTATTTTATTTGATAAATTTTAAGTTTCTACGCTTTATAAGTAGATATATTTAAGAAAGATTCTAGGTTTTTAAAAAGCAAGAAGAAATAAAAACCCAATCCATTGATTCATCACATCAAGAAAATAAACAACTATGCAACATTGTCGCGTGTCCACCTATTCAGACTTTTTTTGCCTTATTCCTGTGAATGACATAACTTGTTTTAATAAAAATGCCGAATCATTGACGCCTGCGGCGCGGCTGGCCTCCACACCTGGTAATCCTAGCTCTCTGGGATGCCAAGCGTGGCCAGAATTGCTTGACAGGGTCAGGACGTTCGCAAACCAAACCTGAGCCAAGAGCAAGCACCCCCGGTCTCTACTAATAAATAGGAAAGAAATTAACTTGGCCAAGCTGCGGAACCGTATATTATAGCAAAAAATTAGCCGGGCATGGTGGCACATGCCTGTAGTCCCAGCTACTCGGGAGGCTGAGGCAGTAGGGTCACTTGAGCCCAGGAGACTGAGGTTGGTATGAGCTAGGCTGACGCCACGGCACTCACTCTAGCCTGGGCAACAAAGTGAGACTCTATCTCAGGAAAAAAAAAAAAATGGAATCATAATACATATTATTTTATGTAACCTGCTTTTTTTTCACTTAAACATATTGAAAATCGATTTATATTTCATTTCTAAAACTAAATATCATCTTGATATTTTAACAATGTGTTTATTGTTAGACATGTGTTTATTATTTATAAGCTATGATGAAGATACTTATTTGATTCCTTACTTATATAAAAGACATTAAAAATTTCTTTCACTAGACTTATCCTTCTGGTTTTGGAGAGAAACAGTAAGTTAGGATTAGACTTAGATAAACTTTTGTTTAGCAACACTTATATAGTACTTATTTCCTATCAGACACTATTCTAAGCACTTTAGAAATATTAACTGATTTACCTCCTCTTCAATGAGGGACATATAGTTACTATTCCCATTTTACAGATGGGAAAATGAGGCACAGAGTTCAGGCAACGTGCCCAGTGTTTTACAGGAAGTAAGAGGTAGAGCTAGGCTCATACCCAGGCTCATGCTCTGAACCGGTCGCTTACAAGGCCTGTTTCTGTTATTTTCTTGGCTATCTGTGAAATGGGCTTTGTGGGCTAGTTGGGCAGCATGGGCGTATCCCAGAAAGAGAATCTGTGGGCATTGGAAAGCTTTTTGAAATTAAAGGAACCCAGAACTTCTCCATAGATCAGGAACAGAATGCCAGACCTTATTAAGAATAAAAAAATGGAAAACCTTATCTGAAGAAAATCATTATCACCCTCTATTCAAATCTTTTTGTGATTTGATAATTCAGCATTCCATAAGAGAATTATTTTGCAGAGTGTAATTTTCTTTTACTTCCTTGCACCATTTTGCTGTGAGGTAAGTCCAGTTAATCTAATTGGCTTAATGAGAAAAAATTTTCAAACTTCATTTACAGTGATGTGCTCTTTTAAATGTTTGCCCCAAAGTTTGCTACGTGGGCTTTGATATAGCTAATCCTAAGAAATCCTGTCCTCGTAGAGAAACAACAGCACAATACTGCTTGTTTTCCATCAAAGTTAGTGAATATAAAGATTGGTTTCAAAGCAGTCTACCCTGAAAGCAGCCTCAAAACAGACAGTTAAAACCCACTGAAGGCCGGGCCTACTGTTACAATGAACCATAGCAGGAGGAACTAAAGAAGGCTCCAAGGACAGAACCCTTCAGAAGTCTCCGGGGTTGCCAGCAGGCCTATTTGAGGACGGATTAGTTGTTCTGAGGAAGAACAAAGGTGCCTTCTTACCCTCACAGAGGCTGCCCTTCTGTGGGGGAATTTTGCTGTTACAGGACCTGGAGTTCTCAATGCCATTTAAAACTAGCAGCACAACATGTAGGGTTTAATGCTGACAAGTTTATAAGCCCTGTCAGCAGTGAACTCAGAGGAAATTCAACCCGGCCCGGGAACAAGGGAGGGAGCACAAACAGAATAAATGGCTGACAGGAGTAGGGAATATTGTTTTCTATCACACCGTATCCTGTGTTGGATGTAGTTCAGACCTATTATTCCCGAATCAGAAGCAACTATAGGAAAATTAAGTCTGTTGAACTGAAAAGATTATTTTGCCGGACTCCACAGAACGTTTTGTTTAGGGGAAGACTTGGTTTTCATAACACCTCAGCTGTCATCCTCTCTTTGCCACGGAAGAGGACGAACTTCACCGTCTGCTCGTGGAGCCACGGTATGGCCTGAGTCCCGCTGCACCTTGCAGAAGGGGAAGGAGTCCAGAGGGGACCAGGAGAGGGGTCTTCCGCCACAGACACTTGCCTCCGCAGGCAGTTTCTCCCAGTTCTGTGGCTGTCCTCACCAGCCGTAGTTTGCCAAGCTTCATTTAAGAACCAGACTTGGCCAGGCGAGGTGGCTCATGCCTGTAATCTTAGCACTCTGGGAGGCCGAGGCGGGCGGGGATTGCTCAAGGTCAGGAGTTTGAAACCAACCTGAGCAAGAGTGAGACCCCATCTCTACTATAAATAGAAAGAAATTAATTGGCCAACTAATATATAGAGAAAAAATGAGCCGGCATGGTGGTGCATGCCTGTAGTCCCAGCCACTTGGAGGCTGAGGCAGGAGGATTGCTTGAGCCCAGGAGATTGAGGTTGCTGTGAGCTAGGCTGATGCCACGACACTCACTCTAGCCTGGGCAGCAAAGCGAGACTCTGTCTCAAAAAAAAAATGTTTTTATCAACTTAAATCATACTTAAGTTTTATCAGCATAAATGGGAAGTTTAGTTTCATTTCCACAGGGCTGAAAGAGTTTGTTTGGCAAACACAACAAAAAGACGAGGTTGGAGAGACTAAGGGGTTGTTTGTTATTGCTTCGTTTCACTATATGAGGATTCTCTTTCTAAATTTAAAATGGTGAAACAATGTGCTCTGAACACCAACTTAGATTTATCCTGTAAGTGGCCTCAAAACTGATAGAAAACTCAATCCAAGAACTGGCAAACTGAGACCAAACATCGGAGAGGACACTTAAAAAGGCATCCAAGCAAATGTTTTCACAAATGCTTTTACTATTGTTACTTTGTTTTAAAAAAAATAAAAGGAAAATGATCCTTCTATTCACTCAATCATTCAGCAAATATTTATTGTCCGCTAAGTGCCAGGAACATCCAGAGGTGAGTAAGACAGGCCCTTGCCCTGTGTCCTTAAAGTCACTAGGGGAGGCAGTCTCTGA